TATACTAATCAACCGAAAAAGTACTAACGAGTTGATGACAGAAATAATTTCGGTTTCCTTCTTAAATCACACCAGGATCGTGATGCAATAGGCTCACGATAACTGGTGTAAGTCTAGAAAGAAAAACCTGTATATTTGAAAACTAAACTGCTCTACAGCAACGACGTCAGCAATTTAAATAAATTGGTAGTTGGTTGCAGCAGTAGAATAAAATCGGAGCAATACTTGACGAATTCGGCAGCAGAAGTCAGAGGAATAAGCGCTCAGTCGAATAATGTAGTGAATAGCAGAGTTGCGGTCTACATGACCATCGGCGCCCCAGCTCTATGCTAGGGGTAGATTCATCCCCTTCCCAAGGTGGGGAGATAATGGGGTCGGGCTTCTCTGAGCTCTCGCTAAGGTAAGGTCGCAGAGGCAAAACATCACATGATTATCGAGGGCTGTCGATTCTTCATCTGTTTATAGGAAAAAACATCGCTCCATTGTCACTATCTTGACCCAAAACCTACCATTTGAACGTTCGCGCCCTTCGCAAACATTTCCTTCCCCTCCCCTACCCCGGGAGTTGTGCATACGGGCCATTGTGGTACGCGTGTAACCGTATCAAGAAGAAGACGGCTGCAGTAACAGTTCCAAGCCCCTCACCAGATAGCGAGTCCATCGAACATTTTGTCTTGAATCCAGCTAACGAGCATGCACCGTTTTCGTCAAGTTCGTTTTCTCCAGCGACCCTCCGGTCTGTGCCTATCACTGTGGTTATGGTCTTTGTCTGGTAGCTGGAGTTCGATCATATCAAAACGGATTCATACGTCACTCGAATGAATTACGGATATTCACAAGCGTGAGTACGGATACAGATACGAGATACTGTTCAACAAGGTTCAGTCAAGTCTATGCATTCAACTTGCAGTCCTGCACTGCACTGCACTGCACTGCACCAGTCTATGCATCGCCACGCGAATACGAGTGTGGGGTTCGTTGAACTCCAACGGCAGCATCTGAGATCAGAGTGCTCAAAACTGTCATGGTTTTGGACGAAAAAGGCACAACAACAACTTCGCTACGTGACACGCTGCCGAGGAATGAGCTCATGTAAAAGCGAATAATTGGAGCCCAGAAGCGTAATTCCGCAAGTGAACAGTTCGTCCATATATCCATGATTCTCTGCGTGTTCAGTCCAGTGAAGTGTTATCAATTACATTAGCGCGATTCCTATACGGCCGTGTGCATTCCACCGTGTCATCCACGTTCCTATATCACCGAACGTGTACGAAATATTTGAGCGCTCATCGTAGAATCCCATCATCATAGTTGACATTACAACTCGCGTCTACAACGAACATCGTGAAGGAACGCTTACGTTATTACCATGCACCACATTTCCGTTAGACAATTTCAACTTCACGATGGTTTCTCTCCAGAATACGCAACCGCATTATCATCTGTTCGTGCAAACCACAGGCGAGACTATCGCGCTTCCTCATGGTCTTACCTTTCCGGTGATTTCCTCAAGCGAGGAACAGGCACGATCTCAATCCTCTTCCTGCTCAAACGCTCATTTTTGTGATTGTGATGTAAGTTTGAATAGACCAAGGTGTCATGTCCGCACAACAACCTGACACGACTACGCCAAAATTCTGATTTCGTGCTCCCTATTTACAAACCAGCTTTAGGCTCATAGGCGTGATCGGTCCGTTCGAGTCAGAGTCTACCGAAGACGAGTTCACAGTTGCGATCTCGTCTTCACTCAACCTCGACAAGGCTACACTTAGCATTAGCGAACCAAGTGTTTTGGACATCGGGCCGCTACAAAGTTGCTATAGTTGCACTCAAGGGAGTCGAACTTTGATATCCTGCTTCACGCTTTCGACTTCATGGACCACTATAAATGTGACGAATACGTTTTCTCAGTGGTATGTAATCCACACAACAGAAGCACGCTTCTACATTTGGCATCTAATAGTGCAGTAGTTGACCACGAATGATACACCACATGCGAATGAAAAACATGTCGGCAAGGCTCCAAGGTATTCTGTACCATCATCCCGACGCGAATTCCTCTGACTTCATGCCGGTCAATGCGTCTAAGACCTCGCCCCAACTCGACTGGTTTGACGATCTCAGTTTAGAGGATCTTTCGCCGCTATAGCTAGTGGCAGTCGGCCATTGGAAGCCGACCCTGTTCATTCTAGGTGTTGTTCTCTAGATGTTAATCCTAACCTATTTTTTCGGACCGACAGTCCTACTGTTCGCTCTCAAGGGATTATGGTTCGTGCTGAAAAACGGGCAAAATTGCGTTGACAGCAGCACGGTCTCTTGCAAAACGCGGTAGCCTTATCAGGCAAATGGACAGTACGCGCGCCGCTCTTCCACCTCCCAGGTCGCAGATGCGCCACAGCGTCACTCGAGTGAGAAGAGGAGCATCGCCACCGGCATGACTTTTCTCTTATAGTTATTTTTGCATCGGGCGCTAGAAATTCAAGCAGGGCCCAGTCGCATCTGTATGGCGGACGAAATCGACCGCAAAATTCAGCCGATGGAGCCAGAACAGCGTGCTTCCATGGAACCGTCTGCCGTATTTTTAATCGTCTAGAAAAATCCAAGATGACATTCGTGTGATGATGGAGCGCACTGCTCCCACGTCAAATTGTGTCTTTTGCCCTTGTCGGCGGAAACATCGATAATCACCATGTAGCCCCCTGTCGCCACTATCCTGACCCGGCCTAGAGAGCTATGCAAGCCTCTAAACTGCACTTATGCGGACGATGTTCGCGTTCTGAGCACGGTGGAAATTGCAGTGTGACTTGCTCTTTTTGCCGTGGCGGACACAACGGTCCTATGCTCGCAAGATCTGCTGCACCATCCAAGCGCCGTCGTCTCTGATCGCCCGTGGATGGTGTTCTGTCTATTTCGACCTTATTCTGTCCCAGCCACCTACTGTCGACGCCGCCTCTATTTTGTCCACACTTAAAGAACCCCTTTCCCTCCCCTCTCGCCTCTTCCACTCCTCTCTCCTACCGTACCCCTACCTACATCTGCGTCCGAACTACCCGACCTTCGCTGGAATTCTTGTCACATGTCGTCCCCGTCCATCGCCGGGCCGAGCTCTTCCTTCGCTATCGACTCATTGCTACTCTACCGAACCTGGCGTGAGGCCCATTTCGAGCCCAGACTACCCATAGCTTAATCTCTGCTGTTATTCCGCCTCATCTGTCGAATGGTGGTCATGAGTTGCGCACGGCTGCGAAAGGAGGCTCAGTTCTGTTCGAGTCAACCACTCACTACGACGAGTCGGCTATGCGAGCGGGTGCAAAATGTTGAAGATGGTCGGCATATCAGCTTGCTGATTCCCTTTATGTGCTATTATTCTTGGTCAATTATGGTGACAGGTATACATTATCACTTGTGCGCATGTTATTTTGATGCATCTTACTCTCAGCCTAGTCAGTTTTCATGTATGACCGTAACCTATGGCAAGAATATCAATGAATTGCTGTATGATTGGCGCCGCCCGAGGTGTCGCGGCCAACACGATTTTCAGCCTCCTCGCGGCGCCCCGCCTCTATGCTTGGTCTTTTCTGCTTATGAAGAGGTCGCGATCGGTCACTGATAAATCGGCTTGACATTTCTCACTGAACCACATCGTATCATCGTATGAGCGCTGAAGCTGGCACAGCATACTCTATACGCATCTGTCGTTGTGTCGTAATTGACACCCAAAATTTGTAAGCAATCTCTTTCTATCTCTAGAGGCGTTCTGGATTCGGGTCAGGCATCCAAAAATGAACCGTAGGTGAGAATGTGTGGCAATAACGCGGGAACTTACCCCCTATATAAGGTTAGTCTTCCAACTGGAACCGTGAACTCTGATCAGCCTGGTATTCGCTACTATTGTCGTCCTGGTGGGCTGTCTCTGCTGATCTGGAAGGTACGGTCTTTATCTAACTATTAGTTACGTGATGACTTGATTGGTTTCGAAGGTCCCCTGGGGGGTGAGACGTTTGGTCGAGTGAATCATGAACTGGTTTCCACCTTTTTTAGGCTCCGAAGAAGGCGAAAATCGCCGAAACGTCGGCCGACTTATTGTAATATCTAACCTCGTGATCTGTTCAATAAAATAAAGTTGTATTCGAGCTATGCCGAGTTTCATTGAGAGTCGAACATGGCAACTGCTGCGCGACGTGCCAACACAGTGTTACCGACTCGTAAGTGAAGTCCTATGGCAAAGACAGAAAATAGTCTTGGCTCGACAATCGATCCACTTTCTAAAGCGCTGCCTACGTCACCGTCTTATTCCGAAGTTCATCAACAAGAAAGGACCCCGAGATCTGTTTGGCAGCCCAGAGGGAATAATAATCTACTGCCGGTCGAGCTGCAGCTTCTTCGTCTCGCACTACGCAGCAGACGTGACCACATGTATTCTATGCTGAAGAAGTGCTTGGAAAAGAACAATGTTGCGGCCGACTTTTGGTCGATCGCCTCTGGAGGAGAATAGTGGGTGGGTCGAAATCAATTTGTGGTTCTATCCGATCTGATGTTAGAACCACTTTGTAGAGGGAATTTGATAGCCTTCTGAGTTCATCGCATAATCCAATAGGGAGGTTCAGTCGTACCGTTACCGGCCATGTTTCGTGGGTTCAGCTGACGACATTGGGGGAGGATCAGGCCGATCCGAGTCTAGGGTAACCGTGTTGGGAAACTTCCCCCCGCCTGGCTGCGCGCGGTCTGTTTTGGAGTTGGGTCCCAGCTTCTCACCTTCGCAACATATTTCCAGCACCACCATGCTTAAGGTTATTTGCGGCTTATATGAGCTTCAGGATCGTCTCCGTTATAAAGCAGAGGCAGACAGTAGTGGCTCGCCTACCAACTTGTGAACGTCCGCACTTAATATTCCCTTCCCTCAAATCTACCTCGAACAGCAGGAACCTGATGCCGCTTCAGAAATTACTTTCGGATTTTCGCTGATGAGGTGTTTAAGGTGTTTAGTAGGTACCAAAAACGTCACCTGTCATCCAATCTCTCTCGCGAGCAAGCTCATGGAATTAGGCAGCTCTAAGAACTAGTCAAATCCCATACCATAAGGCTGTTCGTTAGTGACAACGAAGGGGAGTTCTTAGCGATACCTCGTCAACTCGATCACGAAATAACGGAACGGCACGTCGAAGATCACTCCCTCTACCGACCATTCTCAGAAAAAGAGTTTCAATCGCAGTTCCGAAGGCTGAATCGAGAATGGGTAACGGTAGCAAAATCGGCGGGCCTCGACCCTAATGCAATTAAACGTCTCGAATTAGAGTCACCAAGCTGCCCCGTACATTACCTTCTCATCGAGACCCATAAGTTCTCACCAACGGACGATTTGGCCTCAGTACGTCCTTCCTCTGTCAAGGTTAGACCAATTATCAGCAGCGTGGGGATCCCACTGATAGGATCGCTTGGTTCACCATTCTGGCCCAATTGCTTCAGTTTATACCATCGCACCTTGCCAATACTCAGATGTCCTGTGTTACCTCGAAAAGGTGCGTCCCAATAGCACCTCTGTTATGGAGACATTCGACGTGGAATCTTTGTATACCAACGTAAATAATGCATCTGCTATGGAGGCCGTCTCAGAGCTTCTCAATCAGCACTGCCACGCTCTCAACATGAAAGGGTTTTCCGTAAGACAAGTAATAAGGCTTCTCAAGCCTTACTGCAACGTTTTGGTCGGGGAGGTACTTCGCACAGACTAGAGGTTTAGCCATGGGGCAACGCCTGGCTCCTTGTCTGGCCATTGCTTTTATGGCTAAACTAGAAACACCCATTTTTGAACGTCTGCCCATGATGTGCTGCCGATCCTCGACGACTGCTTCGTGGTCTGCTCGACACGAGAGGAAATGTCTCATGTCCGACTTTCGATTAACCTCGGCATATTGAAACAACTTCGTCGTAGATTGTATTAGCCTTCGAGGTTTTTAAACACAACACTTTATCCACACGGCTCACGTTTCGGCAATATCGCCTTCGTCGGAGCCTGTAAGCCGAAATTATATTTGTGATTCGTAGGCCACCATTTCGAATTACAAGAAGAGAATTCTAAAGGAAAGTAAAACAGAAGCGATGAGCTGACCTGTAACCGGCTGGAGCTGTCTGTCTGCACCCTGAGCCCGAAGTTCCTCACGGCGCTTTTATATGTGCTGGGACTCAGAGGTCGGGTCAGGGGTTGCTCCAGTAGACCCCCCAAGATGTAAACGACTAAATAAGGTCATACGAGGTCAGGTTCCTTCCGATGGTCGCGCATCGCCCCTGGTATTGATTTTTTAGCGAGTCTGGGTACTTTCACCCGTTACCCCTGCCCCGGCGCCCCCGCGGGGGTATCGACTGTGTAGATCAAAGCCACACAAATCTACGAATGGCGCGAGCTCCCTGGTAATCGCCACGCACTCGTCCTTCCTGTTGATTTTCGGGTTCTTTGCTGCAATCCACAGTGCCTCCAGAGTCTTGCGCGCTGAGATGTCATCTTCACGAGACAGTGTCGTAACAGAGGCCGTCACACTTTCATTCACATGGTGCTGTATCCTGTGATCACCTCGGGGAGTGGAATTTCTAGACTTTTTCAACCCATCCAAATGATCTTCTATCCTAATGCAGAGTGGTCTTCCCGTTTCCCTACATATTCCTCCCCGCACAGTTGGCATGTGATGAGATATACGACTCCTGAGATCATACATTCACCTTCCTTTCCAGAAGGGCAAATTCAGGATACAGCACCATGTGAATGAAGGTGTGACGGTCTCTGTTACGATACTATCTCGTGAAGATGACATCTCAGCGCGCAAGACTACGGAGGCACTGTGGATCGCAGCGAAGAACCCGAAACTCAACAGGAAGGACGAGTGCGTGGCGATTACCAGGGAGCTCGCGCCATTCGCAGACTTGTGTGGCTTTGATCTACACAGTCGATATCCCGTGGGGGCGCCGGGGCAGGGGTGACGGGTGAAAATACCCAGACTCGCTGAAAAATCAATACCAGGGACGATGCGCGACCATTGGAAGGAACCTGACCTCGTATGACCTTATGTAGTCGTTTACTTCTTGGGAGGTCCCCTGGAGCAATCCCTGACCCGACCTCTGAGTCCCAGCACATATAAAAGCGCCGTGAGGAACTTCGGGCTCAGGGTGCAGACAAACAGCTCCAGCCGGTTACAGGTCAGCTCATCGCTTCTGTTTAACTTTCCTTTAGAATTCTCTTCTTGTAATTTGAATGGTGGCCTACGAATCACAAATATAGTTTCGGCTTACAGGCTCCGACGAAGGCGAAATTGCCGAAACGTAAGCCGTGTGGATAAAGTGTTGTTTTTAANCCCCCCCCCCCTCATTCTCATCGGTCCACGGCAGGTGGCGGCTCCAGCAGACCTAGAAGAGGTGTTCTGAACGAGAAAATTCCCTTCATGATAACCTTGATCTCTGATAAAGTGAGTGCTTTCATTAGGAGGTGTCTGAAGAGATCGAGTCTAGAAGACACGGGTGGCCTTGTGGATATTCCTCCCAATAACCTAAAATATCGTCTCGTTCGGAACCGTCTCTATGACCGCACATGCGCGACCGAGAACTTTGTGGTCGGTCCCAATGGCAGTGATGGGGACTGTGTCATCGCAGGTGTGTTTATAGGATCATTTCTCGAAATTGTGGAGACGAATACATAGGGGAGACGGCCAGACCGCTTTACGTTCGTTTTAGGGAGCATTTGGAGGGAAAGGCGAGGCCGCGGCCATCTACTGTCTTAGGTTGCCACAGGCTTGAATCTCATAGCGGAGACGATTTCGAGGTCATCGTGGCGCGGGAAACCCTGACAGTCGCGCGCAAAACCCTGGAGGCGTTCTGGATTCGGGTCAAGCATACAAAAATGAACCGTAGGAGAGAATGTGTGGCAATAACGCGGGAACTTACCCCCTATATAAGGTTAGCCTTCCAACCGGAACTGTGAACTCTGATCAGCTTGGTATTCGCTACTATTGTCGTCCTGGTTGGCTGATTCTGCTGATCTGGAAGGTACGGTCTTTATCTAACTATTAGTTACGTGATGATTTGACTGGTTTCGAAGGTCCCATGGGGGGTGAGACATTTGGTCGATTAAATCACGAACTGGTTTCTACCTTTTTTGGGCTCCGAAGAAGGCGAAAATCGCCGAAACGTTAACGTTATTGTAATATCTAACCTCGTGATTTGTTCAATAAAATAAAGTTGTCTCTTTCTAGTCTGTCCTCTTCGAGAATCTCTGCGTTGACTTCGCAGGAAGTTGACATATGTATATTCTCGGAGGTTCATTCCAATTTTGGCAAAGAGCTCCTTTGATTGATGGTACTTACTTAAGGCTTCTTCTACAGTATCAGTCGTCATCATCATGTTGTCTACGTAATGATGATTTGCGATTTCGTTCGCTAATGGAGAAGCATGGCTATTGAGGTAGGGTGCCAGTGCCATGCTAAGCGTGCTGGGAGATGCCGTCACTCTAAACGGAAGTCTTCGAAAGCGATAGTGAATCAGGTTGTCTCTAGTGATGGAAGATGTATATTCTTAACCCATAAAAACCTACATATGTAGGTCCTTATGTGGTTCAACGGTGCGAATCTGAGTAAAGGCTACTGCGATGTCACACATAAGAACGATATTGCCTTTAGAGGTTATCAATATGTCATGGATCTTATTTATGAAGGATTCCTTTTTTTAGATGACATCATTTAGTGAAAGCTTGCCCTTTCGTTAGGAGGACGCATCAAAGACTATTCTGAGTGGTACCTTTTTGTTCGGTCCCCACACGCCGGAATGAGGCATATGATAGGTACCAACAGCTCCAAGTTCTGCCTCTGAGAAGGATTTTATGGTCCCTCCGTCCACGTACTTTTCAATTATTTGTGAGTACCATTTGCGTTGATCGGAGGACTGTTGCAATGTATGCTGCAGGAATTCAAGGCGGCGAATCGCCACCCTAGAGTTGTCTTTTAATTGGACAACATTTTCTCTCGAAGGGAACGGCGCTTTTACATGACCGTTTTCGCGCGATATCGTTTTGGAACATTGCTCTAAATATTTGTGGATTTTCTCATCGTTGTAGCATTCCTTTTTTAAGATCTCTAGCCCTTCTTATCCGAACATTTTGCGGAGCATTGTCAGTTCGCTTTGTTCACGACAGACCGTCGTCGCATGGGAGGAATTGCTGCAAATATTCTCTGCTGGCAATAATCCTTTACCATATATTGTCGGACCGAATATTGTCCGCGTACTATGAAGCCCAGTGGGTGTTTTCATCGAGTGGTTTTGACCTAATATGAGTTCAAGGTAGTAGTCAAGACCGATGAGTGAATGAGGGGTTTGGAATTCCCCCCGTAATTTTGAATTTAATAAGCAAATGTTGCTCTCTCTTGAGTCGGTTTCTGTGAGTTCAACGCTCGGGAAACTATTGGTGAGTATCGTCTTTGTGAGCATTTTCATCTCCAGTTCATCGCCAAATGCCGAGCTTACATTTAATGTGATGACATGGCTTTCGAAGTTTTCTACGTGGCCACCTATGAAGAAGGCCAAACTGTTCTGCTACCTCTTCCTTTATGACGGATTTTTGTGCCCCAGAGTCGAAGAGAAAGAGTACTTTTCGTACGCTTGTTTCTTGAAATTTCACGTTTCCCTCAACAGTCATCAGGACTAGCTGGGAATTCGCCTGGTTTTGCTGATTAGCAAGCGGAACAGTGTCTTCTGTTCTCATTTGGGCGATGTTATTCGAAAGACTCTTGGGGTAAATGGCACCGTTTTGGTTTCTTTGTAGGTTGTTATGACTCCTGCCTTGGGTGCCTTGAGGTCTGGAGGGACGCGCTTTTCGAACATTCCTTTGGTTATTGTTGCGAGAATCTTTTTCCCCGTCGTATCGTTATCGTCTTTCTTGACGCATAACGACATGTGGTGTTTTTGAACACATCGGGGACAGTCTGCTCGTTGGCAGTCGAAGCTGTTGTTACTCGGAGAACAGCACTTCCAGCAACTGTTTTCATCTTTTCTGATTTTTCGGCGACGGCTTTGATCCGTAACGGTTCGACATGAAAACGATGAGTGATTGCTCTTTGGTGGATTTATTGCCTATGGCACGACCTAGCCTACCCTAAAAGTATTGCTTAGCGGTAATCTTCCTCTTTAGTTGACTTATCGAGTCTTCTGTCGTAAGACTATCGTGGGATTGCCCATGAATCAGAACAGGCTTGACGACATCCTGTTGAAATTCTGATAATATGATTTCGCATCATATTGTGCCACAGGTTTTCTTACGTGTGGCCTGCTGCTATCATTTGATGGACCAAAACTTGAATTTGGTCCTAAGTTGTTAAGCAACTTTCAGCTGAGTTCCCAGCTGCATTCAAATTTACTAGTTTTTGCACTATTTGAGCCCTATTCACAGAAAGACTACTGCAATTGCTTTGGAGAGTCTGAACTAGCCAGTTATAGTTTTCTGGTACTAGTCTTATCCCCGTTATTGAGCTTTGGGCTTTCCATCAAACTTTTCTTTGGTAGTGAATTTTTTTTTCAGACGTCAAGCTCGCCACTTTTATGAACCAGAGTTTCGAAGACTGCCCAGAACTCTGGGAAGTCTTTGGCGTCCCCGTTAAACTTGGGCAGGGACGCCTGAGGCAGTCTTACAGAGCGGCCACTCAGCAACGGATTTGTACGCTCTGCAGTCTGCGACCCCGCTGCGTTATCTATTGAGGGATTCCTATTAGGGCTGCTTGAACCCGGCTCAGAACCCTCGTCCGGGTTAATTTTTTAGCAGTGATTTTCTCCTTCTAAGGTCAGCTTTTGAAGCCGTTAGGCTTTTTGCGTGGTGTATCCTAAATCTACGTCCAATCTTCCCTCGCGCGCTTCGCTTCGTCATGGCGCGCAGTCAACATAAAGCTGAGCTCGTCCGCATCGGCTAATATAGAGTGAAGATTTGGGTCTTCCTCTATTTGCTCCATTTCGAGTCTTATTTCCTTTCTATCTGCCTTATTGTTACAAGCTTTGTACTCCTCTCTGATCTCGTTTTGGAGTTCTTGGAGTTTTTCAATGCCTAGATTTATCTGCCTAATGCCACTTTCCAATGATGCCATTGCAGTCCTACATTGTTCGTAGGTCTCTTCATCTGCTGCGGGGTAATCTACTTTGGCTATATATTTCCTGTAGCGCACGACCAAATTTTGAGCGTAGTTGCGCTAGCAATGATAGGTCTTCGATGGAAGCGGAGGTACATGTTCATTGTGATTGCTTTGTTTTGATGAAACATGAAATTTGCTCATAGAATCACGTTCGATTCTACTCTATTCAAAGTTTGAATTTTTCACTTTTTGGCCGATGTACCAAAAACGTTGGTGGTTCAGTGGTTGTGTTAATATATGTTTTTCTAATCGCGTTTGGTTATGTAAATAGTAAGCAATAAGACAAATATGGCAATCACAGAATACCCTAAGAGGCAACAAAGTAAAGTAAGGTAGGAAGGTATTGACTAGACGGGTTAAACCAACGTCTTGCCCTGGTCGTCGTTTGCGGTAGACTGGGGACCATGCTTTTTGGCTTCGCCCGCTTGACCCCAGTATCATAGTTGGCGTCCCAACGCCGTCTCAGACAGTTAGAGAGCGACGAGGGAGGGGATCGTCAACTCAGACGACGATAGGTTACACGACTGTTACAAGACACATTTTTTGATCATTTCGGCAGATAGCTCGAGGTGGATTTCAATGGCAGAAGTTCATCTACAGTGAGTTCACGGCCTTTCAAGAGGTCGACTCTTCATGGAGAGGTAACTGAAAATTGTTAGTGGTTAACTATTCCAAGTAGTCTGGAAATTGGTTCATGAATAGGCCCGATTTTGTTGCGGTCCCAACTGCCAGTTAGCAAGGAAAACAGAAATGGATGGAAAATTAGTAATGGTTTCGCAGAAAAAAACGAGGTTCATACAGCCCACCAAATCCTCCTTGGTTCGAAATACGAGTGAACACAAAATATAACAAGTGATCTTATATTGGAGATGGATTCTGTTGGAATAATACTTTTAGGAGTTATTAACATGACATAACGACTTGTTTCAAAAGTACCGCAGCAATGTAGGCTTCTAGATCCTCCATCTCGTCTCCAGCAATTCGGAGAAGAGATGCCTACATAATCTCTGATATTGTCATAAAACGAATTTCAAATCAACATGCGCCCCTACAACTACTCTCTTCACTGCTTTTTCGGTGTGTAGAGGTAGAGTGGTATAGGGTTTTGTCTGAGGGAACAATAGCTTGTTTTGCGTATCGGTTGGACATCCTAGACGCCATGCTACCGAGTGCGGCATATGCAGCGCTGGCCTGGAGACCATCACTGTTTTCTAACTCAAACATCCGCGCATGGGAAATTAATTCGAATGGCAGCCGGTGGTTTGGCTATGGAGCTGCTACGAGAGATACAGTTTTTTGTGGATACGTAAAAAAGCATACGTTTAATAAAATAATATTGATTTCTTTTTGAGCATGGTTTCTGGCGCGTGTGGAGTGTACGTATTGCTGAGCTTTTTTCGGTGATATGACCATTATTGTTAAAGGACGAAACGAAGTTTTCCTCCAGGATCACGTGGCGGACGTTATAGCGCTATATGCCGAAGTTGAAAGTGTAATCTCGCAAATGCAAATGGCCCAGTTGCTGCAGGTGAAGAACACGAATCACGTCAACGTAAACAGTGTCCTCACCCTTACTTTACAGGTATTGGCTGTTCTTTCGAATACAGTTGATGATGAATCAGTACGATTGAAACTGTTGCAAATGGCAGTCATCCCATCTATTGAGCATATTCGTAGTATACAGTGGTCAGGTTTTGAGGTTTCACAATTACTTCAAACATCGACGGGAACTTCAACCTATTAATTTCATTAGGTTCATTATTTATTTTCGAGGTCTTTCGAGGGCGTTATGATGTTCATCAAGTTTAACGGTTTTGATGGGCCACCAGCCCAGTCCAAAGACCAAGTGAGCTGCGTGAATAGAGTGGAGGTATCGTTTTTCTGCTTTTTTTCTTCTGTAAATATGGCCCGTGAGATGTTCGCAGGGTATTTCGTTTCGTTTCGTTCTCCCGGGACTACAGTATCCCTATTTCCAACATGTAAATAGCCGCAAAAGGTAGCCAAATAATTTCGTATTTCGACTTGATGTTTTGTTAACTGCTGTTATATCGCCGCAGTACGCGATGCGAATTTCGTATTTATTGCGTATAGAGTAACTATTAGTGTTTTCGATCTCGCTTCCTTTTTCGGATTCCAAGGGACACTTTTAAGGTTAGTCAATTAGGTAACACAATTGTTCGATAGTTTCCAGGCGAAAATAGAGAACGACAAACAAAGGCGAAAACACTTCTTATACAAAATGCATTGGCATATTTGGTACCTGTAATAACTTAGGTCTACGACATGTTCATTTCCAGATGACAAAGCTGCTCAAGCTTGAGCTTGATTTATAAAGAGAACAAGAAAAAAACTAAAGTTGCGTTGCAGTTAAGACGAGCTCTTACATGTGTTCAAGGAGCTGTGCAACAGGTGAACAGGTCGAGCCCCCTGGCAAATTTGCTTATCCCAATTCTTCCAACGTTCTTCAAATTGAGCAGGTATGCACCGTCATTGTTCCTAGGTTGCACATGTGTAGCTTGGGGAAGAGAGCAAGAACTCGGAGCAACCAGCATGAGCTCTATTCATGTGATTGGTGGTCATAAGCATTTCACGAGCATGTCTTCCTTATGTATGATGCACCATTTAGCCTCACTCCTTTTTTGCACCGATCTGCTTTTGTGGTTCCAGATGTCTTATGGATTTGCACTCAGAGGATGCTAAATTGGCGTTGCACCCATTCTTACGTGACAACCTCACCAAAATCGCCCCTTTCGAAAAGCAGCAGATTTACTGTAAGTTCAGCGCCGGGAAATTTCTTGCTATGAAAGGATCCCATCCCAAACTTTAATTTTCCGAGCCTGCATCCGGGTTCAAATCACCACTTTTCTTGTTTTTGTTTATGTTCTTCTTTTGCTTCGATTGAATTTACTTCTATATTTATAAAATCAGGGGCGGAAGTGGTGTAGTGGCAAGTGGCGCACTATATCGCACGCACGGGTTCGAGTCCCCGCTCGATATCCGCCTAGCCTTCCATCCTTTCGGGGTCGATTAATTGGTACCAGACTCGTCTGGGAGGATAAAAGCACTGACTTGTACATCGGCTGGCCACCGCAAGTCATTTTATAGGCCACATACGCACTCAATATACCACTACGATTCTGAATGGAAGCCAAATACGGGGACGCATCCCTCAGACGGGATTGATTAACGCCAAAGGACTTTATTAATTAAATCTTCCTATAGCCTCTAAACGTTTTTCATCGGATTTCTAGAAAGTTTCTGACCCCAAAGATGGGTGTTTGGTTTTAATTAGCCCACCATTTGGAACATTCTTCCTACGACAGCATCTACTTTTATTTCTGCCAGTCGGGCCGCCCAGCTGACGCCAGGCTTCCCTCCTTCTTGTGACGGAGAAGTAATAATTGGGAAATAGGGCGCTTCTTATTTGGAGCGAATGATGCTTTCGCTTTCATAACGCGAAAACTGACAGGGGGCCAACAGAGCATGCAAGTGCCTATGCTTATACCTATGATTGGAAGTCTCTATCTGTAGGTGCTCATCTCAAAAAGATAACCCATTGAAGGTTTATTCGGTAGGTAACGAAAGGCTAGTGGTACTCCCAGACGTTGTCGAGTAATAATAAGGATTCAATTTAATGCGTTATCAATGTAGCGGCTACATATATTTCATTAGATGAGGATCTAAGATCATTAGCGGTCGGATGAGTCTTGCCAAAACTGATATCGAAGCAAATAGAAACCGTAAATTCTTCAACGAGTCACAAACCTTGCTGGGAGCGGTCGTACTCTCATAGCAAGGCATGAACCAACCTTCATCTCCTCACAATTTAGTAGATTAAGTGGTCCCTGTCACCGCACTTACCCTTCTTGTCAAATGAGACATCGAAGAGTCAAAGCTGGATCGTAAATAGCAAAGGCTTCAGGAATTGATGAGTGGTTGTTACTTTTTAAGGCCTTTGTTATCGTCAGTGTTGCCATACTGTCGTCAGTGATCCTCTCTCGCCTCCTCTGCTCCTACCAAATTTGAACTCTCCACTTTCACGGAAACGAGAATAATGGATTTCCGCTCAAACATTAATTTTGCGCAAACCCCGCCCACCGTGGGCGGAGTCCGGTACTGCCACTCACCATGAGCGTTTGCATCCTGCCAGCTGTACTCCTACAAAATTTGAACGCTCTAGGTACACGGGGACAGGAGTTGTGAGTTCCTCACAAACCCCGCCCATTGTGGGCAGAGTCCGATCCTGCCACTCATTATGAGTGTTCGCACCCTGCCCCATGTACTCCTACCAAATTTGAACGCTCTAGGTGCACAGGAACAGAAGTTATGAGTTTCCCCACAAACCCCGCCCATTGTGGGCAAAGTCCGATCCTGCCACTCACCATAAGTGTTCGCATCCTGCCCACTGTATTCCTACCAAGTTTGAGCGCTCTCAGTCCACGGTGACAGGAGGTATGGTTTTCCACTCGAAAATTTATTTCGCACTGACCGCGCTCCCTCTAGACGAGGCCCGGTCCTGCCACCCACCAAGTGTTCCCATCCTGCAGGCTAACGGGGACAGGAGCTACGAATTCCCGGTCGGATACACACACACATACACATACACATACGCATACACATACCCATACACAAACCCATACACACACATACGCATACACATACGCTCATACACACACATATATACACACGTACACACACGCACACACACGCAGAAACAAAGACATTGGCGCATTATATATAGTAGGATAGCCTCTAACCACTCACTTTTCGCATTATAGAACGTTTTTGAATAGATTTATGAGCTTTCTCAAAATAACCTGACACGTTAACGCGCGCCCCCTATCGTGGGTGGAGCTTTACTAAGCGCGCATGCCCAGCACTATAAGGCCCTGCTCATTCCTTTTATTTTTTCCAGCCTCCACGCCCTCATTGAAAGGAGTTATGAACCTGTTGGGAAAGTACCGCCCACTGCAAGAACGCTCCGCCCATAACCGGTGGCTCTCGTTCACTTTATTTGTTGACCTGTCCCTCTACTTTGCTTTTTTTTCTCGGCGTCTGGGCTGTTAGAAACCTATTTAAGAAGTTTTGCTCATGTCACCACCCACTCTTGTGTATGCCCCACCCCTGGAGGCGAAGCCTCGCTGTTCTCACATGTGCTCTTTTGGTTTTGCCCTATGCCCAACCCATCCCAAATTTGAACCGACTTATTTTAAGAAGTTTTGCCCATGACATCACCCAATCCTGTGCATGTCCCACCCCGTGGAGGAGGGGCTTCGCTGAGCTCAAATGTGTTCTTTTGGTCTTGCCCTGTGCCCAACCCATCCCAAGCTTGACCCGACTTATGCAGGTGCTTCCTGAAGTAGTATCGAATTTCTGTACAATTGAACGAACAAACAAACAATTAGACGCAGGCGCTTCACATATGATGAGCTGTCGTGTAGATTTCGCCTGAGTTTCATATTTGGAAAACCATCTAGCTACTGAAGTATTATGAAGTGGATAGTCCTTTGAAGTGCGCACCTGTGAGCGAAATTCACATTTAAAATTAAAACTTCGATCAGATTGGATTTCTATGGATTTCCGACTATCTTTCTATGAAAAATTACCCCGGCTCGATGCCCGCCTAGGCCAACCAAGCCTTCCATCCCTCCGGGGTCGGTGAATTTGTACCAGACTCGTCTCGGAGGATAAAAGCTTTGACTTGTACATCGGCTGGCCACCGCAAGTCATTGTATAGGCCACATACGCACTCATTACGCCACTACGATTCTGAATGGAAGTCGAGTGCGGGGGCGCATCCCTCAGACGGGATTGATTAACGCCAAAAAACTTAATTTATTTTTTATTTATGAAAAATTACGCGCCTAGTCTGGAAAAAAAGTTTAAATGCCGAAGTTATTCTCGGTAAAAATCCTTCGTGAGCAAAAAGTTTTTTGTCCACGAAACCTAACCTTTTTCCTTCCTCAGTTGGCTGCAAACCGATGGATCAATCGTCCATAGGGATGTATAGCACGACGATAAATAGCCAGGAGAACGTTTGATGTATAAGAATTAGGTGATATTCCCCAATTGGAACGATCTGATGCCGCTTTGTGGATATTGATCTCTTGACATTAATAGGTGATCGTGGGATTGTTTCCATTCTATTCTCTAGTTCCCAGGGGTTTGATTGTCGTGCGTCGTGGGGGCGAGTCGTGTTTTCAGTCTATGACGTATTAACAGACTGGAAATTAATCAACGGACCAATATAAGAAGCATCGGTTGACTTTCCACTTCATAAACGCCTTGCTAAACTTACGCATGCCTAGTAGCACACTTTAGACTTATTTTAATCGAAAAAGCTTTTCCTTTCTCTCTAGGTTCTGGTGGAGCGAGTTCATGATTTGTGTATGAAGTACTGACCACTTTGAGAACGCTCCAGCCGCCGCAAATGCGTCTCCGTTTAATTTGTTGACGCATTCCTACCTTTACCTAATTTCTCTCGGTGTTTGGGCTTTTCTGAAATCAAAGCAAAAAGTCCAATCTTATGGATGTCCTGCCAGGGTGAGGCAAAATTGAGGGATGGAGGATCAAGACTTCGGGCTTCAATCTATCCCGTCTGAGGGATGTGCTTCTGCATTCGACTTTCATTCAGAATCGTAGTAGCGTAATGAGTGCGTATGTGGCCTATACCATGACTTGCGGTGGCCAACCGATGTACATATCAGTGTTTTTATCCTCCCAGACGAGTCTGGTAACAAGTAACCCGGAGGGGTGGAAGGCTTGGTTGGTCTAGTCGGATATCGATCCGGATATTCAAACCCATGACCATGCGTGTGTGGTAGTGGGCCATTTGCCACTGCACCACCTGCGCCAATTTGAGGCAAAATTGTGGAAAGTAGTTGGATGCTGCGAAAACAAAAAAGATGATTCGATTTTAAAACAGAGTACAGTCGGTGTTGCTCATTTCGAAAGAAAAAAAAACTGAAGCAAGAAGCACTACTTTACTCCGAAACTGTCTCCCTTCACTTCGACGCGGGCTCAAGGACCGTAAAGAAAACCCTCGACCGTGAGATGGGACCGCGTCCAATACTTTTTAAGTTTTTTAGGGCTGCCATCGAGTAATCGGCATGTGGCGAGATAAGTCTCGTAGAAATAGGGAACCCCTCCGTTCCCGCAGTTTTCTGCGATAAGCAGCTCTGCGGGCCTTGCGATAATCTTTGAAACAGTAACTCTGGATACACTCAAACAAGGAGAGAATTCGATTGCTTGGAATTTTTGCCGGCTCGAATCGACTGCAAATCTACGGTATAATGATGGCTTTGGCCTTCACCGGTAAAGCAGGATTTTCTCAGAAGTTGGAAGACATGTTTATAGTTAATCAGATAAAAACAAAAGAGAAAGTTAAGAGGAGCGAAAAACTCTTCAGTAGTTCAAGATATTATAATACATCCCAGCCCTGTTTCTATAGTTATGCTTCGTCCTGTATGATCGTAAGGCTCAAGGCCTATTAGGGCTTGATATTCTCTTTCACTCTTTAGAATCCTAATGCAAATTGCAAGTGATTAATTTTTGGAAACGTTAAATTTTCTGACGTAGTTTTCCAACAGTCACCCATTGTATGCACCATTGTTTAGGTACTGTTGGAGAAAATATCGAACCTGTCACAGGAGGCTTTAGCACAGTAGAGAGCGATTTTGTTAGTGTTGAACGCCAATACGTGCACGATTTGAATGAACAAATGTGAGTACTTCTTCCATTCTACTGTTTTAACTTTTCTCGAATCGTTGCAAATATCTTGCTGTTCCCATGTTTTTGTAGCCATGCCCGATCTTATTTGCTCTGGTTTAATGCTTACAATTAATACCGTCATTGCGACATAGGTAAAGAATAAAGTCTTTTGGCTTTTCCGTTTTGGAATGCGGATGTGGCCTATTCAATGACTTGCGGTGGTCAGCCCCATTTACAAGTCAGTGCTTTTATTAGGGTGTCCCAAAAGTTTTGAGAAAATTTTGGCCATGTATTTCGCAACCATGCTGCGCAAGAAAGCGCCAAGGCAGAGCCACGGAGAAAAGGTCAGTAAGAGGTCACGCTTAGCAGATCATCATAACAAGAGAACAGTAATGCACTTTATCTTTGGAAGTGAGTTATCAACATTTGAATTATTTTCGACTGACACGACAACAGGCGCCTTCTGCTTCATTACTACCGATCTGGTCACTCCGCCACTCAAGAGCGGAATGAATTGCAGTCATCGATGGGCAGTACTGCACCATCCCTCGCCACCTGCTATAGGTGGTACGGCCGCTTCTCTAGAAAGAGTTTCACTTCGACGAAAAGCCACGGAGCGGACGTCCACGTTCCACCAAGACCGAAATTGTCTTAGCCTCCGTCCAAAGCAATCCTTCTCAAAGCTTGAGAGGAATGGAGAGGACGACTTCTGCTCCCCGTTCCACCACCCACGACATCCTACGCAGACGTCGCCTTCGCGCAGCAATTCTTGCAATTATCCCCCACACCTTGACTGAGAGCGAGCGTCAGGTGCGGGTCGATGTGTGTCGGAAGCTACCCGACCGCAAGCGAACGGTGGATTGGACGAGCTTCATCATCGCTCAGGATGAGAAGTGGGTTCCTTATGATAATCCATACAGGAAGCTGCAGTGGCTACCAATCGTCATAAGGCCAGAAGCCGTTGCCAAGCGTGGGGAACACGTAGAAAAGAATACGATCTCGTTCTTCTTATGCTCCGCCGGCTTTTTCTACTATGAGATCCTACCTGAGGGTACTGCTGTGACTGTAAGGGTATTCTGCGAGCAGCTGCGGGAGATGGTGTCTGGAGCCCTGGTTTCACACCGAATGCAGGGAAACTTTCTGATTTTGATGAGTCACGCTCGACCACATCATGCTAGGGCGACGGCTGAGGAGCTGGAAAGGCTTGGGATCACCTGGCTGCCCCACCTCCATATTCACCTGATCTTAATCCTTGTGACTACCATGCTTTCAGAAGCCTGAAGGCCTACACGAAAGGGAAAAAATTCAACAATCGTCAGGAGGTCAAACATGCAGTGGATGAATGGATCGCTTCACGCCCTTCTTCTTTCTGGATGAATGGCATCAGTGCTCTGCCCAGTCGATGGAGGGACGTCGTGGCTAAAGAGGGCCACTATCTCGATTACTGATCTCACCTCTTTGTTGTAGTATTTTTGTGTTGAACAAACCAAATAAATTTTCTCAAAACTTTTGGGACACCCTAATATCTTCCCAGACCAGTTTGGTACCAACCTATTGATACCGGAGCGATGGAACGCTTAATTGGCTTGGGCGGGTACCGGTAAATTGTTCCATCTCTGGACCATGAATGCGTGGTAGAGTGTGTTTTGCCTCCACCGCGCCTTCGGCCTTCTCTGTATAGGTATGTAAGGCCCTTTCTAGGGACTTTGGTCTGCACTGAAGTGGTATTTTGGTTCCGAGTGTGAGGCGACACAAGGTGATTTAATAATTCATTGTAACGAAAAACAGCAACAAAATCACGAACAAAAATAAAACAAAAATCTGGCGCATAACAAAATACTCAATCAAGAGATCCATCCGTGGATCGGGGACAGAGAAATCGCGGGAGGTCCCACCGCCGACGAGTCGGCTTCGTAGGCCTTCTCCAGTTACCTAGCTTGCAAACCACGAAGGTTCTTCCCACATCACTCACAAAGGGTGCTACTTCGGGTCCCAGGGCACGGAGTCCTCAAACTCCGTGGGGACAGACGGCTGGCGACGGGACATGGAGAAACAAATGACGACCTTCTCCTCTCGAGGGTTCCCCTTTATACGGTTCTTCCCGCGCCTTTTCTTTAGGCATAATTACTCCTGCGACCCTCTTACCTCCGGATCACTAGGTCACCTACAGTAATCTGATCACCCTCAACCTATTTGCGTTTTGATCTTCAAGGGCACTTCTTCTTGGCGGGACCCCACCGGTGTGGTTCTCTCTGTCCCGCCCCGACAGGTAAGCTAATCAGGTATTTATGAGAAAGAGCTAAATGGATCCAGTAATTGAGTGCGATTGTGCAGATTGTGCATGTGTCATTTTATTCTTTTTAGCATAATGATCATATCGGCATTGACGAGCAAGTTTCCCAACCAAGTTTATTCGCTGTATGATTTTCCGCAGCTATTGCTCGGCATGGTCGCGAGTTTCGAATCAGTACCGGAATTCAGATTGCGCTGTTGGATAAAGAAAGTTTGGTTCGTTACTATTTGCATTGCACTCTTTTTAACGGCAGTAGCAAAAGAATAAAAAGAGTAGGGGAGTTTTGCCATCACTGTGAGATATGTTGGCTTGTGTTACATCGTTTCTATCGTTTGATTTACTGGTCTGATTTAAAGGCACCGTTCACAAAAAAGTTAGGGTACCTTTTTTTGACGGGAATTGATAAAACCACTCTAGAATAAAGCGATAACAACGAAATAAGCGCAAAAAACGATGAACAGAAAGAAATAGAAAGGGTCAAAAAAGAGCTGGAAAGGGGGTTGGACTAGTCTCACATTGAAATAACGGCGATTAGGGAGTGTTCGGGCGAGAATGCATGAAGGCGACGCAATGTCTGCAATACAGACAACACACCCAAACAGCTGATCGGATTTCTCCCTGCTATTATTATCTCCCTGAAATACTTACATCATCCATTCGACGGCGGCAGGCAGGGAATACTTAGAAGAGAATAGCGCAGAATAATAGTAGAATAATAGAAATAACAGCTGAATACTAGCTCCTGTACGAGGCGGTCGACCAGCTGACCATTCCTGGCAATTTGCCAATCAGCGTATCGATTTTTCACCAACTTCGCTCCAGCGCGAATGTGGTGAAGGACAATTTGAACTCGTAGTCAGCCTAGCGAGGGGCGGAGGCCTGACGTCCCCCACTGCTCCTGCCCTTATTGTGCCCTATCCAGCCGTTTTCCGACCTCATTCCAGCACAAATGGTATCAGAGGGGGCTTCGAATTCAAACCATGTGCAAATCTCCGAAACCATTTTTTCGTGAACAGTGCCTTTAAAGCAATTTGTCCACAGTCGTCCATCACCTGAACTGAGAAAAATAAACCTACCACCTTGCTCAAGCTTCATTCTGCGTCTGAAGTCGACGCAATGCTTTCAACTGTATTCGCTTTGTTACAAGTTCCCGCCGGGATCCTTTCGACCGAAGAAATGAACGAGACTCGAAAGCATATATTTAGTTAATTGTGTGCAACGCAAATCGATGTACGTCAAACTTTCGGTCCAAACTTTTATGCCGCTTTGTAATTGTTTGTTGTTAATGGGTCTGGTTACGGAATGACATAGAGGTTTTTGGTTTCGAGCTTGGCAAGTTATGGAGTTATGGACAAAACTTCGGCTTCGGGCGAGACTCGAACCCTTCCATTTGTGCTATCCGGGTACCGTGCTCTTTATCACTTAAAAGACCTGGACCCCGCTTGAGCTGGCCTTCTAATGGCTGTTATGCCATAGCTTATCAACACACACACGTACAACGTTGTGACCCGGTCAAGCACTATCCAGGTCGTATCCAGGGGATAAGGAGCACGGTACCCGGCTAGCACAAGTGGAAGGGTCTGAGTCCCGTCCGAAGTCGAAGCTTTATCCATAATTTTTCATCCTTGTGAGACTTTCGGGTAGCGTACTGCAGCAAAATAAATCAGTTAACAAAACATCAGGTTAAGACATGGAGGTCCTCTACCCAACAGCTTTTACTATTTATCTTTCTTGAAGGAAGTCGGTATTATGTGAGTGCCCAAAAGCACGTTATCAACTTGTCCGAGAATTTTTCGAAAGAATCGTTGAAGCTATGAACAATCGACTACAGAATATATGGGCAGAGGTGACTCATATAGATTATGGTGGGCTTTCGTAGACTTCCGCTATATCTGCTTTTTATGGAGATGCTTTCAATGATCACATTTCAGATTCGGAGCCAACTGAAGAAGAGCTATTTTTCGAGCATATGACTTGTGTTTTATCTCGCGAGTATATTTCATTCCTTCGTTGTTGCTTTATTAGCAGCGATGGTAGAAACAATTTAGTAGTTAAGTTTCTCTTAGTCAATACAATATCCTATGTTAATGTTCATTCAGGAGAGGAATATAAGGCAACTACAATGACGCCATTGGGGCAGTGGTTGTTCAGTAACAAGATCGGTCTTCCTTCCGTGATTATGACTGCGTTCTCAGCATTGACTTTTCGTGACTCTGTTCTCGTTTTGAAAGCCGTTACCCTTTGTAAAGTTTTGGCTGAAAAAGTGTGCTTTCTATTGTCGATTCACAACAAGGCAATGCTGGCAGCCTGCCTGCTTTTACTTTTTCAGCTAAGCGATTGCTACGATGACCAAGTGGGAGTTTATATGTTGGTTTGCTCGATACGATCACTCCAACTGCATGGAGCTGATGAGGTGACCGGTACTCCACTGATCGGACTCGTCTTTCATATCTACTTTGCTTTGGTGAGTTAGATCAATTTCGTTGTTGTAGTCGCAACCTAGTGGTGAAGCATGAGCTTCACAATTTTTTTTATGAGCCTATGAATTTTTGGACAAACAGTAGCATGCTTTAGGTCTTTTGTGCATTGCCACTTCGCCATTATGGTCCTTATACCGAATTGTTTTGTTGAATTGATCGGGATTAAGTGAGACATAGTGAAGTTCCTGCTGCTTGCTCAATCTTCAGAGTATTGACAGCGGTCGATTTGAAATCAATGGAGCAATCCACCGATAATTGATCGGCGTCTTTCGAACTCTTCGCACATATTCTAGCTTAGTCTTCGCTGCTAAAGCGCTACGCTATTCTGTCAAAGTCCGAACAGAAACTTTCAATAGGCGCTTTCCTGCCCGACGTTTTGGATGGAGTGATGTGCTTTGAGCAGAAATTCATTCGAAGAACTCACATCCAATTTCTTCTTTATGCGAATATAATGGTTTTACCATACCGTAAAACCTTTTCGCTTCACGTGCTGTGGAAGAAAGCATAAAATGTGAAGGTGTCACCCATTAGTTCGCTGACGAATACCATAAAACCTTTGAATTAAAAGCACAGTTCACGATAATTTTGGGTAGTCCAGATTATGATGAAAAATGGACAACAAGATCGAATATAGTGCGATGAAGGTGGAGAAACTGTGTGAATCGGTGTTTCCAAACTGAAATAAAGCTTTGAAAAATCGTCAAACAGGGGGCTGGACGAGAATGAGTTCAGATAAGTGAAGAAAAGTGAGGCGTTTGGACGAGCTATACAATGTGTCTCACTGTTTACGTGTGGGTGCTGATGCGAATAAAAGACAATGGTAAGCGAAAATTCATTCACTTATAACATAAGTAAACAAAAAAACTTAATAACAGCAAGTGTAGCTCACCTTTTTCAGCATTTTGGGGTAGGAAATTGAAAAAGGGATCGCGACAGCAAGAAAAATAGCAGAGGAAAAAAGAATGGGAGAAAAACATTGCCTAATCACTCGCTGATCACGGCTGATTGTGTGGGGGTTAGAACGAAAATTTGCAGTCTGTATTGTCTCGGCACTCGTCTCTGACGTCTGACGTGACATCGACGGAGAGGCAGGAGGAAGGCCATTGACGTCCCCGCCCATTGAATTCTCGTGAACTGTGCCTTCAAATAGTTGAACTGGGCTAAAAAACATTTCCTGTTCCTGAAATCATTCATATGGCTATTTCGTCCTGTTTAAATTCAAATTATCGCCCAGCTCGTAGTGACGCCAGTGATCAGCAACAAATCGTTGTTCTTGAAAATCAGCATATTTCCCGTTGCAGCGTCGTTTCTCGGATTCTCTGCTTCAAGTTCTTATGCAGGTTCCAAATCTAACTGCAGATATAGTGGAGAGTTTCGACAATAGAGTAAGTTATTCATTCTAATAGTTAGATGTACTGATATGCTATAAATACTCATAACAAAAAATCAATCGATTCCACAATATTTGTTTCTTTCTGCTGGGGTGAATGTGTTGTAAACCCTTGCCAAACGACGTAAACCGTTCTCTACTTTTGTTCTACGCACTAAGCTAATTGCTACTCTTATTATGGTTTTTTGATAGAGATGTAAGGGGTGTTATTAGTTTCTAAGTAATAAGCCAGCTGTAAAATCTTTAGGATCCTATTCGGAGAACTTGCGGCGTTCCTTTCCTACTACAGATCCATCATTAGGCTAATGATTGCTTTAAGGATTCTTGGTTGAATGGAGGGTGTTTAGGTGCGAGCTATGATATCGGGCGACGAAGTGATTTTAGAAAAGCAAAAAAAGGAAATGGCTCGAAAACTGTTCAAAGGCCTGATCACGGTATGTTCCACAGGTTTAATTCATAGGCTTCAAATGTCAATTGTTTGGTAAGTATTTATACTGTGCTTGAATATTTGTTCAGCGTTTCCTACCGCCGACATATTTAGCTTACCATCGGCGAGCAACACAAAAAACCGGTCTATCTGCGTCCTCTCCCGCCTATAGAAAAACGTCGAGGAAAGGTCAATGAACCTGATGACTTTGAGAACATTGCGCTTTTATTTGCTTATGAGTAAGTTTTATTCAGAAGTTACGAGACCCTGTCCTAGCTGTTGCAATCCTATTACTAATTGTTCTTTGGTTTCGTTTTATCTTGATCTAGTTGTTTTATAACTACTGTTTTACTATTTTTTCGTTGCATTATCATGATTTACTACATGTTCATTTTTCTCTTATTCTCACCTAGTTGTACAGTTTTAATAGATTGCGAAACTATTGCCCACTACTACCAATTTGTGATATCTTTTTCTGAATTGAGATTGATTCCAGTTCCTTTGGGACCTGTGAGATCCACTTGAAAGTTGATCTTATTTGAACCATTCATAACTGTACTTTTCTTGCAAAGGAAATCATATGAATAGGAGTTTTGTAAAATATAATCGAGCGAGGAGGGGCCGCGATCGAGTTAACCTCATTTTGTTACTCTACAGTAAAACGCGGGACTTGAACACGGTGGCCTAGGTGTAGTCTGTATCATTTTGTTACGGGTTTGAATTTGTGCTTTGTAATTGAATTCTGAGCATGAATCAAAAGACCTGTAAAGAGGGAAAAGCCGAGGAAACCGAAGAATATCTGCTTCAAGATTGGTGATGCATTAATTTTCATATTTCTCAGATATGAAAGTTAGCTAGGGCTGGACAAAACATTCGATTCAATTTCGAAAATCAAGCAGTTGGTAAGCGCGAGACACTTATTCTCTTCATTATACTCACTACGTGACAATTTGCTGATAATGGAAGTGGAACTGGAGTGGACATTTTCTTACTTCGGCACTTCGCACCGTTGATTGAATTGAGCCTGCGCGATTGGACTCAAACCAGGGACCTTTAACAGTGGAACAACTTTTTCAGTGTTATCAGAAATTAACGCCTAGGCCAACCAAGCCTTCCATCCCTGCGGGATCGGTTAGTTGGTACCGGACTCGTCTGGAAGTATAAAAGCAGTGACTTGTGTATCGGCTGGCCGCCGCAAGTCATTGTATAGGCCACATACGCATTCAATACGCCACTATGATTCTGAATGCAGGTCAAATGCAGAAGCGCATCCCTCAGACGGGGTTAAACGACACTCAATCGACACCCAAAACTTTAACTTTTACATTATCTCTTTGTATAACCGTGGGCTTGATATCAGCTGGTGTCAATGTAACTGGAATCAAACACATGTTGCTTTAATAGTTTACAGCGCTTTTTCTTGTCTCAGTTTATGCTGCATGCTTTATATGAAAACAGTTCTGAACCATCATTGTTTTACGATCGATTCAGTCTCCCGGTTTTTTGTTCTTATATGATATTTTTGGTCTGCTTCAAAGGCTCGTATTTGTTGAAAGCTCATAATCTATGGTATAATGCTCATTTTGTGACCCTTACGCTTCGGCTTCTGTGAGAAATGTCATATGCTTTGTAGGCCATCCTACTTTAGTGTCCAAGAAAATATTTCAAAAAATACCATGCTCTAATAAGACTAGTGAAGGAGTCGCTCGGGTGTATGTCGTTTGGCGCGATAGGCGCGGTCGCGCCGCCTCAAATGGGCGGCGCGAC